CTGAATTCTAATCAAACTTCAGCACTATAATCTTATTATTTTGATGAAAGTTTGTATTCACAAAAAAATAATAGAGTTTTTATTTTCATAATAAACTATTGCATTCAACGACTTAACTATAAACATTGTCACGACAAGGCAAAAACGACGAGTGGTTGTCAACTTTATTTCATTCTCCATAAAACAGCGCTAATCTAGTAAACTAGTTATACTATAACATGATAATAACCGTATTATGCGTGGTGTGGACTTTGTCGTTGCTTTGTATCGTAATAGTACCCGACGGAACATAGATTTAACGTTATGAGTAGAGTTTGGAACTATTATAGAGGTGGTTGGAAATATTTTATATTCATAAATACTCCCAAGTGACCGTCTTTTTTTTAAATATAGCAGATAGTACTTTTATTAGTCATTAGCTTTCGTTTGCAACTCCGTCCGCGTGTAATAAAAAAAAACAAAAGTGAGTAGCCTATGTGTTCTTTCACATTATTTTCTACATTTATGTCAGATTCAAACTCTAACGAACATTCATCCATACAATCATCCATATAAACTTTTGCATTTATAATATTAAAATAAGTATGAAGTATGATTAGTATGATGTATCGATAGATCACTTTTTCATATAGCGTGTACAAAAGTGCTTTTTAACCTTTGACTACCTATATTTTTTTACCTCTTTTAGGCTTTGTCGCTGTACATATTGCATAGTCATTAAAGGGGTTTTTCATGAAACTATGTATATTGAATACTGTCTATTTTCATGTTTTTCTTTTGAGCAAAATAAATTAAAAACATTGTAGACTGGAGGTAAAAAATTCTATTGATTAAGATTTTAGTAACGATTTGTTATCGCCTGATTTTTTTTATATCGAACTTTAGCCTAGATATGTCATATTCAGGATATGAGCCATAAGATTGTTGCTACCTTAAACTGAATTAAACTATACATACACTTGGAACCTGTTGTTTAGTTAAACAACCATGTCAGTATTATATAGGGATCAAAGAATCCGTATGGAAATAAATGTTTTATACAGGTCTTTCGGCAGTGGAAACTAACGGTAAGAAAATAGTCTGAATTGTCATAATTTACGTAATCTCTACATTCGACGTGTTTTTATCCGTTGTAGTGGGTGCTAGAGCTGCAGCTAATAGCGGGTGTACGACCTCCCGTTGTCGCTGTCATGACATTACGAAGTTGTTCTCGACCTGCTAAAACGCTAACTGGCCGTTGTTCTCTAGTACCAGAGACATTTTTTTTAAAATAACTTTAGTGTAATTGTTGTATATAATTATTTCGTCTGGTTGTCAGCTTACATTGAATTTTGTTTAATAAACTCATTTGGCAATAACGGTGGAATTTATTGATTTATTATTCTGATCAACGTCTGAAATGAATTAACAGTTTTCGATTCGTCGTGTTCTACCTATTTACAGTTTCAAAGGGTAACCCCTATTTCCATTTGCAGAATTTAAGGAACTAACATTTTCCACGTTACGTTAAAAAGTGAAGATTTTTTTCCCATCAAACTGCATCATAATTAAACATATGTAGATGAGGCGGGGCAACGTCCGCCAGGGTCGACAGTCACAGTAATGCAATCAACGTTGCTCTTTGTTGACTGGACGAGTAGTTTTTCTCACACAACGAACAATTTATTGCGAACCTCACTCAAGCCGCTAACTAATTTATATCTTATCACATTATCAAAGAGGTATTGCGCGCCAACGTAGTATATCCACACTCATAATATGATTACTTGTCACTTCGAATATGTGTCAGCTCTTATCTTAATACTGAGGGAAAATGAAGCTAATTTTCTTGGTCACTAAATGTCGTGTCACAATAAAAATCAATAAAACTATACTAATATTATAAAAAAGATTTGTATTAAAAAAAACTGAAAAACTACTGGACTGATTTCAAAAATTCTTGCACCATTAAAAAGCTACGTTATGACTCACTCAGTAGCGAGTAACAGCTCAACAATAATTTAAGACTGTACATAAGTTTTGTCTGTGTAAAGTAAAATCGATATTGGCATTTTATCATAGAATTATTTAACAATACATCAAAGGAACTATCAATTATATAAAAAGTTTTGATTTGATTACAATCTTATCGGATTGCCGAGCCCATTGTAATAATTTCCGATAAAGAATTATCCGTTATGTCTACTGGAAGGACGATAGAAAAAATAATGGAACAAATTTCTCATATCCCTCGTTATCAATACAGTATATTATCGTACAATATATTTATTTTCACGATAACAAACTGCAAACGATGTTATAAAAATTAATCGCAAACCACAATGTCTATGGGTAATTACTGCACCTTATTTTCTTGAGTTTTGGTAAACACTTGACTTGGTTCGTTTTTTAATATGTTAAATTAGTAAATGTTTATATCCTTGAACTAGTTTGCGGACAGCAACTGCACATGGCCGCACATTATCTAGGATACCATCACCACACAATTTAAACAGAAGATAACATGAGATAAAATGGATTTTTGATGTATTCCATTCAACTTGTGTATGCTAGAATAAGTGTATTGTATTAAAGATTTTGCAGTACCTGGAATTTAATAAAAAAAACACTGTAAGTGAAAATAATAATTAAAAAAAGTTGACTGCGACGAATGATGGTTTATTTATTTAATTACTGAACTAAGTAAAACAATTCATAAAAGAGATACATTGTAATAAACGAAACGAAGAGTAGAAATATCTTTGATCATGCAACTAACTTAAATAAACGAAATAAACAATCTAGGTCAATAATAACAAAGTGTGTGAAAATAGACTGTGGGTAAATCGTGATTAACTATCGAGTTTAAGTTTGTAAGAATAAATCAATTGATGTGGAGGCGATGGAAGCAACAGGCCACACGTGTCGCCGCTAACTGGGCCGAGCTGCACTCAATCAATAGCACGTACTGAGTAAACAAATTATACTAGCTTCCAAACTGACGAGCCTCACTTTCATAGATTAAATAAAAAATACGCCACTTGCTCACACCCAGTCTAAATAGTAAACAGAGCAGTAATGCGAATTTTCTGCTACAACATTAAGTATCAATTGCTTCTTATTCATACATTTTTTACCGTTTTATCCAGCTTGTTCTGCTACCAACATTAAGTACTCTGAAAGGAAATGCTGCTGGCTATTGCTTTAGCGCACAGGATTAGATATTATATTTAAATAACCTTAATAACCTTGACATGCAACGGCAGTCTCGTCCATACAGGGTAGTTTTAGTTTATCAAGATTAAATCGCGGTCTTCTAAAATACCCTGGTGTATAGTGTGCGAGACAGCCGAAAGGGTTAAGTCCCTTAAATCCGACAAAATCTACGTGATATGTCACAATGAACACATTTAAGAACCCTGAAAGATACGCATGGGGATAGGTATTTGTATAACCTTAACTAATTTTCCCAAGAGCAGGAAATCGCTCAATTATTCACGAACTCAGATAAACTACGAAAACGTTAAAAGTTTTTTTTATACGTGTGCTTTTCACTTCTTCCTGATTATTTTTTGTTGATATTCATCAATTTTATATTAAGCGATTCTAACTTTTGTGGCATTTATTATGGATTTATAGTTTACTGGTTACAAATACGTTGTGTTATCTGAAGTTGTGTTAAGCTGATTTCGCATTGCCATTTCAATGAGGTCTCTAAAAATATTTTGTTAGTGTTGTGCTTTTAAGAAATGTCGCACATTGGTAAACTTATGATAAATTAGTGTTGTGTTGAGTCCGGCATCTTAAAGTAACACTACTTGACCCAAATTGAATGACGTGATATCTAATTGACGCCACTTTTTGTGCCTTGAGTTGCAATGACTCACAATACACATTCGGAATGCAGACCGTCAACGAATGTTTCATGACAAATGGAATGGAAAAAGGAATTTCGCTTATATCAATGAAATATTTGTACGAATTGAATTGCATTGTCTATAAATGTTGTTTATATTTCAACACAAGAAATGCAATACCAATACGTTTGCCAAGAACTGTTGATTAAAGTTTAATTAGAATTTATGGCGTGAAAGGGGCTTCGTGTGCGAACGGATCAAATACCGGATGACGTCACCTTCGACGACTTAAGCTTAGGTCATGACATTTTTTAAAAGTGTATAGCAATTTATTTCATATTCTTAAAGTAGAGACACGTGTACAGAATCAAGAGACCAAGTAAGGATATTCGATCACACTGATTTTTCAATTTTATTAGAGTATATAAAATATAGTGAATAGTATTTTCCCGAATATTTATACTAAAACAATAAAGTACACCTAAAATTTGTCCAAATTCAACAAAAAAGCTCAAATCTTTTTATTTAAATGTGACTCAAACACGTTACTTTCCAGCCAGGTTTTGTAAATTGTTATCTTTAAATAAGTCAAATAACCCGAATAGCAATTAAACAGTTATTGATTGAATTATGTGAATTGCTACAGTCGTAGAAGTTGCAAAGTTTGTGCGCGCTCCTTGTTTGAAAGCTTCGTGGAAGTGCGGTTTAACAGCCAGGTAGACGGTGCCAGCCCGTGTTGCCTTTGCGACACGGGAAACTTCCACTTTAAAGCTCTCTTTGCAAAAGCAGACGTATACACTTTGCATATTTTTAAATAATATTCATTTTGAAAGCATATTAGCGAAATATTTCTGGTATATTGCTTTGGAAAATGTTTCCTAGTGATACATGTGTTTTGTTTACATTCTTATAGCATTAAACAAATAAACTGAATAATCCTATCCGACTATTGCATTTTAGACAAATGTAACAATGTAAATTTCATGTTCAATGCCGCTGCATGCAAGAGTAATGTATAGGTGCCTTAATACCGAAAACAAATGATAATATATTCATTTATACATCGAGAAAGAATGTGTCTCGGATGACTAGAATGCTACCTCACTGCTAAACTATAGTCACTTCATTCTATTTCATTAATAGCGTGTTATCGTCTTATTTCAGCACAAACGCAGCCGCCGCGGTTCAACATGCAACCCTCGTCCTTAAATAGCATAGTACGAGAAGGCACGTCCAAGATATTGCAATGCTCCGCAGTCGGTAAGCAACTAATCTGCTTTAAATTTTAAGTTGTTTTACATTAAGATGTAGTGTTTTTTTTAAATTAATCTTTAATCAATGTAAAATAGTGTCTAAAACACGTATCTTACATTTTTGTTCATGGGTATACGGATGTCATTTCTTTAGGAATACCGCAGCCGATGTACAGGTGGTTAAAAAACGGCGTACCTCTGAGTGAGTACTCGACGGACATCTTCTACAAGATTCACAACACGCAACGGCAAGACGCGGGCGCCTACCAGTGCATAGCCAAAAATGACGTCGGTGCTATCTTCAGCGAAAAGAACAATATTGTTGTCGCATGTAAGTTTTTTTTTTCATTATTATGATGTCTAGATGGTATTATATGTAAGTAATGACTTCTACGATATATCAGGTTAAAATATTTCTTTACAAATACTATATATCTAACTTAATTTCTGTCTAAATCTCACAGTATTTTTCTTTATTTCTATCATTTAAAACAGAAGATATAAATATGTTTGCGCATGTTCACTATTTTACCTAAACAAAAAATAACCATCCGTGAAACGCGCTCTATTGCTATTCTCACTATTCGGACTTTATGTTGGACTATTAAAAGTTAATAGCCAGGTCATTTTATTTATTGCCTGTGAACGACCTGGCTGCAGGGGCCGCCCGATTGTGTGCTCCATATAACGCTAAAGGTAACTCCAGAATATTCTTATTCTATTTATTTGTTCATCTTTACACATACAAGATTAATTATTCTTTCGATAACGTACGTACTTTTAATTACTTTGTAATTTTTCACAAGTTGTCATGATGCACGCAACGCATTTGAAGACAATTGATTTCAGGTCATGGTGATGCATTGTCTTCCAATCTTTTGTGTTAATAATCAAAGTGTGTGGCTATACCTATAAGCTATAAAGTAGCGTAGACATGATTTATTATTGATTCCCCATTAAACCAAGTTCTACTTTAATAGAAGTGACTGTTCTTTGTAAAATATCTAAAAACTTTACTCTTGTAAAATGTTTCCTCTTTCAATTAATCAGTTGGCATGGCGAAAGCCTATAGCTACATGACTAGTGACTTTCGCCTTGACAATATCCACATTGTAATAATCTGGGAAATCGTCGCTCGCAAAGAACTATTCATTGTTAGTCACAACTGAGTTAAGAAACTCTTAGACCTTCGGTTACCTTGATTACGTTATCTGAAAAGAATATTACTTACAAAATAACCTTTTATCGCAAATCGTTAATTTTACCGTATTTTACAAACAAAGAAATATCATTTCATTTTACGTTAGAAGCAGGCAAATTATAAATACTTAATGCCCGTATGATTTCATAGTCTATTACATCCGCATGTCGAGAATTGTCTGTGGAATTAATAACTCGCATCAGACGCAATTACGATTCATTTAAATAAACTTTCTTCAATGTGAATAAACATTCTTTAATCTTACTTTGTCGGTAATAGTTAAATTAAAATAGCATACTCTAACCATTGTGACAAAACCCAAAGCCAGTTTAATAATTTAATGTTATTATTTCTAGATATGGGTGTGTTCGAAAGCAAGATAGTACAAGAAGTGGCAGTTGACTCGGGTAAGGCTGCTATTTTAGATTTCCCCCACATTGACTCAGAACCACCTCCTTCAGTTAACTGGCAGGACGAGAATGGTGAGCTGAGATATGACCAAAAATATGCCGTAACCGATGACCACAAGCTTGTTATACTGTGTGCTTCAAAAAACGACGAGAGGTCTTATAGGTGAGTGTTTCTTTAACATTTAATTAACAGGCATTTCTGAATTATTTAAAAGTAAGTGCTGTTATTTATATGCATTAGTTAAAATAGAAACTTATGTGTATTTTAGGGCCCAAGCTTTTAACACCCAATCTGGTAAAGTAGAAAATAGTCCATACATAAAACTGAACGTCCTTGGAGATGATACCAAAGAAATAGCTCCAGAAATAATTATAAAACCAAAAGACACAAAGATAATAAAGGGCCAAGAGTACAGGAATCTATATTGCATCGCAAACGCAAGGCCATTGCATGAATTAGAGACGTTATGGTTCAAAGATGGCGTCTTAATTGACATTGCTGGCATTACTTATGACTTGAACGACCAGTGGAACAGGACCCTCAGTCTCATATCGGCTAACTTGACTCATACTGGCCAGTATACATGTCAAGCTAGATTAAAAAGTGGTGGATTCGCAACGGTGACTGCATCGGCTACAGTCACTGTGTTCGAGAAACCCACCATGTTGTCGTCTTTGAAGTCGGAGACTTATGGCGAATTCGGGAATACTGTAGTCTTAGAATGTAACGTGGAAGGTATACCATTACCTAGTATCACGTGGTACAAAGATGCAAAAAAAATAGCAAGCGTTGGTGCCGAGGTAGGGGAGACCGACAATGGTGACGTAGATGACGGCGGAGGCAGGTACCGAGTAGAATTGGACCGATCGCTTATCATAAACGATCTAAAAATGGAGGACATGGGAATATACCAATGCATTGCGAGCAATGAAGCCGGGGAAGCGTCCATAAACACTTGGCTGAAGATCAAAAGTAAGTTTTCTAAAATCTTTTCGAATTTTTCCATTTAATGTTACCTACCTGAACAACCCGGCAAAAAAGAAATTACATATTTAGGAGGAACGACAAGTAAGATCACTTTTGTTGTACTTCCTTCGACAACATGAAGTTTTTCATGACTTGCTCTTTCCTATTTTAAAGATTTCTTTAAAATTCTGTATAAAGTTAGGTGATCAAGATATGTAGGTAACGTTGCCTACGGAATAATAACAAGTCAAATATATTTCGAGGAATTGTTTTATAAATTGTAAATAATAAGGTGTGTTTAGCATACAGTGGTTAATTAACATTTTGGTATGATGGTGCAGCGCGGGACAATAGACGCGCGGCGCGAAGTCACATGAAGTTGATAAGAATGAGGACTGGTGACAAAAAGACAAAGTCTTTTCGTTTTGATACTGGCAGTAAGATAAATCGAATGATTTTATAGCATATTTTAATTGCAATTACGCTTCTGAAGCACAAATATTGTTTTTGTGTTTTGTTAAGACACATTTATTTCAAAAGCTGTTTATGGTTAATTTATAATCGTTTTTGCTTATAGTGTAGTATAATCATTTTTAGATAAAGTTAAAATATATTTATTATTGCAACGTTTTTTTTTTGTCACGTTTTTAGCATGTTAAGGCACTTATGATGTTTATTCTTAGACTTAACGTAACGTTAATAGTTTTCATTTTCAAGTCTGTTTATAATAGAAATGTTTTGATGGTGTGTACTAAAAGTTGTCAGTTTTAAATTCAAAAGTTATTTCTTAAAATGAAAACTTACATATAAAATTACAAAAAGCAGTTACAACGTTGTACATCTCCATAAGGCACATCAAAATTATTCAGATTGGCAGCAAGACATGTTGCCCTTCCCAAGCGGGGAGTACTGAAAAATTGATCAGCTCGCCCCGAAACTACGACATCCTAAGATTTGAAGGACACCTGCGAAGCTTAAGAGCCCCGTAAATAAACCCCACACAGTTTACGACTTGCTCGAGCAACCGGCTCGTGTTACCAATATCTGTGCACTTATCAAAAGTACTCTGTCTATTTAATAAGATATCTCGCGAACTATTTGATAATTCGTAAACAATACCCACTTCTTTGACAAGGAATGTGCACGTACATACATCATAAATTAAATTTCTTTGCAAATACTTAACAATAATAATTCTTTATTTCAAGTCCAGTCATAGCTCATAAAGTTGTTAGGAATTTAGTAATGAAAATTGTTTATCCTATTAATCACCTTTCTAAACCTTCATTTTTTTCACAGTACATGTACTTTCATTTTATTTCCAACTGAAATGTTGTTTAATTTTACTTACGCAGTTGAGCAATATTGACTTTTTTGTGTTCGCATTGTGGTGACTCAGCTATATGCAAAAGACGTCATTCGGTTTCCTACGTCTCAATACCGTGTGCACTCGCCTCTCTTGTAATTCAATTAACCTATTTCTATTCTATTCTGTTCATATGAATTATAATATCTGTTACAGAGTTATATAACAAAGTGTTCGTGTTTAAATGCTATATGTAGCAAGAACACATAAAATACTTTTAATTCAACGAGAATTACAGGAACTCGTTCAATTTTACTTCCCTTGCTTCGATGTAGCATCAATAAAATTTTTACTCGCCTCTAACTCAAGTGAAGCTAATGAAATCAAATTATTCATAGTACCGAAACAACTCTACACTTGTTTATGTTTTGACGAAACCGACGAGATAAAACAGAACCAAGTTATTTTTTTAATTTGCTTTGATGCAATATGTTACCTAGGATTAGTTTTTAAATATTATAGAAGCACATTTTTTAGATCAAATTACGTTTTGTATGCATGTTGTATAACTTTGTGAACACAATCACGTTAGAATACTAATTTTAGGCGATAGGTAAAGGTAACTTAGTGTATAGAGTAGCGCTCGAGTTAACAGCAATGTGTGGCTTGTAGCGTCCCCGCCAGTAATGCAGAGCGCGCCTGCCAACCTGACCGTGCTGGACGGCAAGGACGCCACCATCAGCTGCCGGGCCATCGGCGCACCCACGCCTAACGTCACCTGGTACTTCAACGGTAAGTTTCACTGGTACACGAAGGCATGGTCACTTGAACAACCCCTCAGTGTACATTCATCACACTAAATCTACACTTATGTTGGCCCTTAGTCTTCATAAAGTAAGACATCATAAACAATTGAGGGCAATTACCCTTAGTTGGTGATTGTTCTCTACTTTACCCCGTGTCGAAACTTTTTCCTGTCGTACATCTCTTATGATTTTACTAAGCGATTCTTTAGTTCGTCAGACCAAGCTGAAGGTGTTCGAAATGTACGTATTTATGATTTTTTACCCTTTTTAAGATAAGGGTTATTACACACATATATAAGACTGATAGTTTATGATAGTTCAGCTTGTTGTTGGGGACAGGTGGGATTTTCAGCTAAGTAGATAATGCACAGACATTTTAATGCGATGCAATGTTAAATAAGCACTCGAGCTCCTCGTAAAAATATGAAGTTTATGCTTTTATTACAAGCGATAATGTTTTATTTAGAACTTTGCCTACTTTATTACTTTAGAAATGCTTTCACTACATTTTTGTTGTAAAAAAACTTTTACAAAAATACTGAGTTCGTTAAAAAATAAAGTTATATTGTACAAATAAAGATGTATTATAGTATAGCAAAGTTGAACTTATTATAGTTTTGTTGTAAATAGTATTTATCTGAATTTTTTATAGTGTGTTATGGTATGGTATGGTATAGAGAGCTTTTTAAGGTTGAAAATAGTGAAATAAAATACTTGAAAATACTTAAATCTTTATTGATATAATTTTTCCAAATAAGTCTGATAAAACTGAATCTTTACATAGTTATTAAAATCCGATGCGACGATATTCATTTTTATATAACTTTCCTTCAAACACCATTCATCATAATATCTATTCTTAGTTGAAGCATGTTTACGTTACCGTGCATTTGCATGTGTTTATTTTTTCTAATATTTCGACTTCCAGATTCTCTTATAATCAAGTTGTCGGGGCGGCTGCAGGCGCTGGATGAAGGAGACCTGTTGATTACGAGCACGACGACTGCTGATAGCGGCAAGTACACCTGCATTCGGGCCAACGATGCAGGCAACGTCTCCGGCGAGGCATTCCTCACTGTACTAGGTAAATAAAAAAATTCAAAAGTTTTTTTGTAATGCACGAAGAAATCATATTTAAAAACTGATTTTTGTATCCTATCAATAAAGATGATGAAGATTTGCGTAAAACCGACATCAAAAAGAAAATAATGTAATTTCACATTATTACAGAATCTTAAGTATATAACGTAGGGTATAAAGTTAGCTATAAAATATCTGATTCCATTATGTTATTGGCATCTGCCCTTGGATTAAATGGCGCGGCTGCCATTAATTTTATGAGTTGAGTCCAATATGACCGATACTCTACCTGTTTCCTCAATTTAATAACAATTATTTTGCAAGGTCACAGTGAAAATGCATTTTAGAAGATTGTTTTAAGTAATTTGCTAATAACTTAAAAATCGACGGTGCAGTGTTTAAACTTGTAATATACAGCTCAAGGTTCTATTCCCGTAGTGTACGCTAAGTTTTTAGATTGTTATATCCAAGGATGAGAAGCATAATGAGTAAAATTGCACGAATCTGCGAAGAGATTAAAAAAAATGTACTGGGACCTTTATTACCATGAGAAAGGAGTTAATTACAATCGGCTTTAATTTTATTTGTGCGTGTGCAGTGCGGACACAAATAATAGCACCGCCTGTGGACACACGCGTTCTGCTGGGGCATACCGCCACGCTGCAGTGCCGCGTCTCCAGCGACCCTAACGTCAAGTATAACATCGACTGGTTCCACAACAATCAGTAAGTTATTTATACTATACATACAATATTACTAGTCTTATTATTCAGCAATTGTTAGAAAAATTGTAAATGTTGTCATAATATTTAATACAAAACAAAGTCTGTTTACTCCATATAGAAACACTACAAAAGATATTCATTTACGTCGATTGCGTCAAAAAAAAAACATCAATATTGTTCGAACACGGAAGCCGACCCTCCGCCGTGAAACCCAACACTTCCGACAATCGCTGTGTAAAAGTATTGTTACGCCGACATTGTCTCTAATGATGGCAATTTTCAAAAGTGTGGTAAAAATAAACGTTTTGTATAAGAAAAGGATGTCACGGCTGTTTACCGTGCGATGAAAAAAGTATAGCATCAATTAGATAAAATACACGTTTAACGACACAATGATTGTGTCGTAATCACAGCGTAAACTTTACCATCACGGCGCTGTAAATACGTACTAAAGATTTTTCACAGACGTGACGTGCACTGACCCATAGACCTTTTTGTCAGGATATAGCTTTTGTTGAATTACTATTTTGAGAAACATTTACAAAAGAACAACAAAGAAAACAAACTTTAACATTTCACTCAATACTTGCTTTTCGCATTTTTAGCATCATCATCGACTTGTCTTTGTCTCTACGGAGGGTCGGTACAGTATGCTGCTCTTCATCATAACTGAACTCAATCCCTTCTTAAGCGTATCTTCGACAAAATCCATTCGTACTTTCTTCATTCTTCCTCTACAAAGGTACATTCATCAAGCTACAAAGGTCGCCATCCATATTCAATTACATTTTAAGCGATCTTAATTTATCGTGCATCGCCATCTACATTGATATTAGTAAGAGCATCAGCTCTTATACATAAGTATAACGAAAAATCCAGTAATAGTTGCAATTTCCAAAATGCTAGGCCGATGACGGCGGGTTCGCGCGTGTGGATAACGGGCGAGGGCGCGCTGCA